GTACTTTGAGGAACTTGCCCAAAAAGGTTTTGGATAAATTCTCTTCTAATTTGATCATAGTTCACACAAAAAGAGGTAAAATACTTTGGCATTGCACCAAAGCAGCTGTTTTATCGAGCATCTGGTGTGAAAGTAATGCCTGGATTCTTGAAAACAAGGAGAAATGGATGGGTGTTATCATTGATGTCATTAAAGTAAGGTTGCCCATTGGTTTTTTATTTGTTTTTAAATTTAAATTTATACATGATTATAATTGTATATAAATTGTTTTTTCCTTTTACGTACCAAAATATTGCATATGGTATGGCAAATATGAAAGAGAGTACACGACCCATATAGAGAGAGAAAAAAACTTGACATGTAAGGCTTTCACCCAAATCGTCTCACTCTTAGACTCTCCCAGTCTTAGTCGAAGTGTCAAACGGCAAGTTCAGAGCCCCTCAGCCCCCAGATTCTTCTTCGATCATCAGGTTCAGGCCACCTTTGAAGTTCGATCATCAGGAGGCCATCTCTCAGTCTCAGTCGTCTCAGTCAAACGGCAACTGCAGCGTCTTCAGGCCCTCAGCAGTTCGACACAAGGACAAGGTACTTCTCCTTCTTCTCCTTCACAGAAAAACAGGGGCTCCACCCAATCTTTTTTTTCCAAATATTTCTTCACTTTTTACATTGAAAACAGGGGTTCCGCCCCCTTCTTCTTCTTCTTCTTTCCTTGTCTGTTTTACACTAAAACAGGGGCTCCGCCCAACCTTTTTCCATGACTGTTTTTACACTAAAACAGGGCTCCATCCCACTCTCACACTCAAAATGTTTTCATATAAAAACAGTAAAACAGGGCTCCGCCCCATTCTTTTTTTTTTTTGGATTTTCAGTTTTTTCTTTATTTCTTTCTTCTTCTTCCTCTTCCTCTTCTTCTTCTTCTCTTTTTTCCATTCTTTTTTTACACGAAAACAGGGCTCCCAGTTCTGTCCCAGAAGTGGATGGACTTTGGAATACCTTCGAATGGACTTTCAAATATGTCTGAACTTCTGTTTCAGTTTGATTCAGTTTTGTACTTTTGTTGCATATTATTTTCTGAACTTTTGGTTACAGATTGAAGTATTGAACCTTCAATAAAAATGAAAGAAAGAAACTAAGCATTAGGCATTACTGATTTTTATTTCCTTGGTTAGCTATGTTTGTTGATCTGTTGCATATTAACTTTGTTTTATGAAATTTTCCTGATTTCTTAGAATTTCTACATGTTTCTTTTTTCAATTTTTTCTATTTTTTAAGTTTTTTTATTTTGTGCGCCTCGCCTTGCGCCTCAGGCGCATTTGGAACCTGTCGCTTTTTGTGCCTTTCGCTTTTAAAAGTTAAAACACTGGTGCCAATAGACCTGTTCATAGGTCAGGCTTCGAGCTCAGCTTTACACTGCTTTGGGCTCAGGCTTCAGACCAGGCCCATTAAAATTTTGGCAAAAGTAAGTTAGGCCCATGAACAGGTTCAGGTGCCAATGAATTCAAAATTGAGAGGGTAGGCTACAACTTCTCGTCTTGCCCCTAGAAGAAAACAAACAGTTAACGCTTGGGTAGCCACTGAAATGGGTAATGTGAAGTTGAATTTTGATGGATGCTGTTATGGTAATCCAGGACAGTCGAGAATTGGGGTGTAATAAAAGACAAAAGTAGGACCACAATGGTTAGCCTTTGTGGTCCTGCAGAGAATGCAACTCCTTGAGGGCTGAGATGCTTGCTCTCCCTCAAGGACTAAACTGGCTTTCTCCTCTAACTGTTACCAACTTAATAATTGAAGGAGATTGCCAGGTTGAACCATTGAAGTATCTTGGTTCTTATCAACAGCTGCTGCCCTTAGGACCTTCGGCATGTGATAAGAGGGAGGTGATATTGGCATTCGATATGAATTACTGGTTCAATTGTTAGGTGAGGTATCCCCTTTCTCTCTCTTCTCATGTGTTGTGACTTGTGACCTCAAGCACCTTGTGCTTCCCTGCTATACCTCATAATTTATGGAGCTAATTCAGGTTGCGAGTTTGCAACTTGTGCTGCTAAAGGTTTCATCTGTGACTAGTTTTCTCCCCTACATAAATACCTATAAAACTTTGTTTCTTCCTCATTTTTAGCCCAGCAATCTCTTCCCCCAAACATACCATAACCATCCTAAATTAATTATCAAGCACTCACTAGTATATTTTCCTTTATAACATAAAATTTCATATTTTCTCCTATATTTACTCACCAAATTCCCCCAAGTAGGACTTTTCTCCTTTACTCATTTACATCACTTGAACTGTACTACAGTACCTGTCCCCATATCCCTAGGAAGGAGTCTTATTTCACATCTTCATAAATTTTAAGTACTATTACTGAAACAAAAATTAATGTCTAAATCATTTTATCCTCTTAGCAAGGGCTAATGCTTTTTTATTTAAATATGCCAACAGTGATCTCAGTGTTCCAATTCCCAGTAGATCATGTTACAGCAATATCCTTGGGCCCATATATGATATAACCCTATCAGCCTATCTAAAACATCCACATTGAAAACAACTAAGTAGCAACAATGGCAATAAGGATACTAAAGATAAGTGTTCTATAAAGAAGGCAACACTTACACCTTGATGCTTGCCTCAAGTTGAAACTCGATTGAAATGTCTCAAGGTTTAAAATTATAAACTTTCTTATTTTTCATTGTCGTAATTTTTTAAAAACCTTTTCCTAAAAGGACAAATAGGGATTCAGTGATTGGATGATTAGCTTACTATTTTGATACGATTCAATAAATTTTTTTGATAAGTAAATAAAAATTTTTCATTAAAAAGAAAAAGAAGAGTACAAAATTGTGGTGAGGAGGCTTCACCCACTTGCATCAAAAAGAGAAAACAAGAAACCCAGATTCAATACACGTTCTCCAAATTACATATCTGAAAACCGAGCACCTCCCCTAAGTTTTCCCCCAAATCCTCCCTTGTGCATTGGCTGAGTTCTGGGTTCTGGGTGAATCAAAACCCAATCCGCCACTGATTTGCTTACTGCAGCTATTATCATGTCCAAATTACAGCTTGTGTCTTCAAAAATTCTTCTGTTCCTCTCCTTCCAAATGCTACAACAAATTGCAAGGGATACAGCTCCAAACCACCTTCACTTTCTTGCTGCCTCTTAACTTTGGCCATAAAGAAAAAATTTCCAGGGCTGAATTTGGATGAAAATCAGCTACCCAAAACAAGGCTGTGAACAATCTCCAAAGAAAACTAGCAATCTTGCATTCAAAAAATAGATGTTTGACATTTTCCTCCTGCTCTTTGCATAAGCAACATTTATTGGCCAAATGGAAGCCTCTTGATTTCAAATGATCCAAAGTCAGGACACTGTCCATAGCCACCAGCCATGCAAAAGCTTCTACCTTTGGGGGAACCAGATTTCCCCACACACCTTTTAGTTTATCTGGATCTGAACTTCTTCTGCTGAGGGCTAAATAACAGGATTTTACAGTAAATTTTCCATTTGAGCATTCCTTCCACCACAGCTCACCCTCCTCTGAAAAGATAATTTCACATTTTCTAATTTCTCCAACAGAGAGATGCATTCATCCACCTCTCTGTCCAGCAAAGGCCTTCTGAACTTAGGGCTCCATATCAGCTGATCTCCCCTTCTTTCATAACAGCCACTAATAGGCACTTGAGCCTCAGCTTTCTAGCCTGTATAATCTTGGACAGATCTCACTCAGCTTGCCAACCCACACCAATCATCCTCCCAGCCATCACCTACTGAAAAACTTGTTAGACTTCTAAATTCCCTATTAAAATTCATAATTCCCTTCCATACACTCACCCCATAAAAAGACCTCACCTCTCTAGATTCCCATCCAAACCTAAGTACCTAACCACCCCATACTTCCCCACCACCACCCTCGTCCATAAAGAATCCTCCACTCTCCCTAACCCAAACCTCCACAACCATTTCCCCATTAAGGCCCTATTAAAAATTCTCACTTTTCTAAGCCCCAGCCCTCCCTTCTTCGGTTTACAGACTTTGCCCCAATTCACCAGATGAAATTTCTTACCCCCTCCCCCCACACCCTCCCATAAGAAATCTCTCTGAGCCTTCTCAATTCTTTCAGCCACTTGAGTTGGAATCTTCAACAAGGACATACAATAGGTTGGTAGACTTGAGAGAACACTTTTAATTAAAGTTATTCTCCCCCCAGTGAAAGATATTTTGCTTTCCACCCATCCAGCTTTTTTTCAACCCTATCCAAAACTGGTTTCCACAATGCACCTGAATTTGAAGCCCCTTATTGGCAAGCCCAGGTAAGTAAAGGGGAGCTCACCAATTCTGCATTCAAAAGCATTGGCACAACCCAACAGAACTTCTTTATCAATATTTCCAACTCCAATCAGCACACTCTTTGATAAAGCACTATAATTCAAAAGAAAAGGTAACTATAAAGAGGACTATCAATCTAACCAAAATATATAGTAACAAGAAAAACAAAATTCAAAATGCCGAGTAAATGGCATATGTAATGAAGAGAATATGGCTAAAAGACTAAAAGGTAGACAAAGAGACCTATTTAAGTCTCTTAATCTTCTCTCATTTGATTTATATGGTTGTTTACCATAGTTTTTTTAGCCTTAAATGTGTGATTATACTTATTCTAATGATTCCTTGAAAGCTTATTAGCTAACTCCATGCTTTTAGAAAATTTCTTTGATTTTTCAAGTTTTCCAAATATCTTAGCTAAATATCCCCAAAATTTCCCCATTATTGCATGGTAAAAGCCCGTTGCTATTGAAATTGTGAACCATGGGAAGAATAGGATTTTATAGACGACCACAAATAGTTATGCAAAGGTTATCTAGAGTAGCTGAGTTATGTTACAAAGTCCAAATAAGCAAAACTAGAAAAAACAACCAAAAAGGTAAAAGAATAGAAGTAAATTGTTCTATGTCCTACAAAATACCAACTACTAAAGAAAGCAAGAAAGATAAGAGGGCCACATACTCTGCGCAAAGTTTCTACTGCTGTCTCTATATGTTCTTCTTCCTCTAAAATTTTTTCTTCAACCTGATCTTCAAATATCTCTTCTTCATCTTCTTCAGGTAGTGGTGATGCATTTAGGTCCATTGAGAAAATCATTCAACATCCACCAAGCTGCATTCGCTGTCTATAAATCTGCCCACCTCTTATGCTATTTCTTGTAACTTTACATCAACAAAGAAGTCAAACTCATTGTCTAATCAAGGAAAAAAGAAAAGGGGGAAACATTTCCTGTCAGAATAACAACATAAAATATTAATAAATATCAAACGTTATCATAGAAAAGGAACACAACATACATCACAAGTAGCAAGTAGCAACAACTCTAACAAGCATGAGAATTACCCAAATTTGTGAAACCTCCAAGAACTTGTTCTATGCAACCAAATTAAGTGGAAGATCAGACAAAGAAAAGAGGAATGATTCTGTGGAAAGCAATGAGAGCAGCACTGATTTGGACTATTTGGGATGAAAGAAACAGGAGGATCTTCAATGAAAGGTGTAGATCAGAGTCAGAAATCATAGAAGCCATAAAGATAAAAGTTGTAAATTGGGCAAAAACTTTGGAAGTCTTCCATGTTATCTCCTTCCATGATATTCTGAGATCATGGAAGGAAGTGGCAAGCTCAGGCCAAGAGAAAGAAAGCGCGGTTATGGAATGGAGAGTTGGACACCACCAACACCTAATTCTGTGAAGCTAAACTTCGATGGAAGCTTTTTCGGAAATGAAGGAAGGGCTGGTTTAGGGGGTATATTTCGAGGTACAGGAGGTGAGGTACTAGAACTTTATTCGGGTCCTGTAGAGCAACGGGATCTACTGACAGCAGAATTAATGGTTTTACTTCAAGGGCTGAAACTTGCAAAACAGCTTTGGCTTTCAAAGGTTAGAAGTGGAAGGGGACTCTCAGGTCAGGTGGTGATTTCCTGGACAAAATTTCACTGACAAACCCCTTGGGTTTACAGGCAAAGGACTAGGGAAATTGAAATGATAACAAGGGAACTGAGTGTTACTTTTAAATGGGTGAGAAGAACTGCAAATGGCATGGCAGATACTTTAGATAAACAGGGGAAAAACAGGCAGACTTATTTCGGGCTAAATTGTAAGGCTGATTTTGGGGGATTGCAACTCTAGTTTTATCTGTTACTCCTATGGGTGTGGGTAAACTACCCACAAATTTGCAAGCTCAAATTTCACATTGTGATTAATAAAACTTACCTTTGCTGATCATAATTAAATAAATAAATAAGTGGAAGATCAAATAGAAAGGATGAGAGGAAGTCACTTACAAACTATGTAGGGTAATAAATATGGAAAAGAAGTATAATGTCAATGAATTCTTGGAGACAAAGCTACTTTTCCACTCAGAACTAATCTGAGTGGAACCTCATCTCAGAACTAATCTGGACCTGAGGCCTGATTGTAAATTTGTAACTACCATTTGAAGTTTGGTTTGATGAAGTGCAGAGTTTCAGTTGGCCATCAGGGTCCAGCTGGGATTGGAGGCTTCATCTCTGATATTAGAGGTAACCCCTTACGGTTTTTTAGTGGGCCTATTGGTGAAGTGGATGCCTCTGAAGCAGAACCTAGGACTCTATTAACTGGGCTGAGGCTGGCAAAGTTATTCATGCTTGGCCATTGCTAGTGGAAGCTGATTCTAGAAGTGGAATTGGCTGGGCTTCTAAAAGTGAAGGTTGGCCTTGGAAATTTTCCCATTTTTTTAATGAGATTCAGGAGCTTGCAGCAGATCTCTCATATTTTTTAGATGGATTCCAAATCTGGGGTGGGCAGTGATTTTTGTATGGTGCTAATTCATTGCCATTGTGATTAGGTTGGGAGCTTTTCTTTACATCCTTCATGCATATCCCCCGCCCCCCTTCTCCTTTCTGAATGAAAGTAACCTTTTTTCAAAAAGAAAAAGTTGTTTTTCCATTCCTTCATGAACAGAGAGAAGCAAGTTAATGTTAGTGAAAACACAACAACACTAGGTTGTAAAACTTGTAAGACATGGTTATAAAATATAGAAGTGCTTTACCAATCAAAATAATACATGTCTTAAAATTTAGTTTCTCCTGGAATAAAATGATGTATTCTTGATCATCTTGCATCATTTCATTGACTTGCTAGGCAAGAAAGCTAAAACCATATATTCCCAAAATATCGCTCCCTAAGGCCTAGACACCATGAGAACCTAAAATAGTGGTAAAGTTGCAATAGTCAGCTATAAATACTCATTTTTATAAGCGAGCATCTGTTTAGATTAAGAAAAATAACAACAAGAATAATAAGTTCTTACTATCAAAAGGCCAAAATAAGCAATGAAAACTTGTTTTGATGGAACTGAATTGCAAATAGGAAAGGGGTAAGTTTCCTAGCTGTCAAAAAGAGCAAAGGAAACCTTACATCATATGGAGCTACTTCAAAATCCCCGTTTCACCAAATAGTTTTTTGGCACCACAAACTGTAATGTTTCCAGAAACAAATATAAAATTGAATTACTGATTTTTTCAATTTCAACGAAGATGAATCAAAACAGAAAGACCCCTTCTATATGATCAAATTATCAATTTACGTTAGAATATTTTAAGTCTTCCTTCTAATTTTCTGCAACAGAGAGCACAGATAGAGAAAACAGCCCTGGGTTTCCCCTCTAAATTCATTTATGAACAGCTAAAGAAGCCAAATTTTCCTTACCTCTATTCTTCTTTTTTGTTCTACCCCCTTCGAGGAATCAGATGACTCGGAGAAAGAGTGAGGAAACAGTTTGTGTCGTTATAGGGATTTACTTCCAAAGAGAACGAAATGAGCAAGGGAGAAGGAGAGAGAGGTGGGACAGGTGAAATAATTAAATGAAATAAAAAAGGCGACTTTATTTTCCCCTTTTATATGGAGTTAATTGATTTGAAGGAGCGCCTCGACTCTTAAATTTTGGAAACCCCTTTAGCATTCTGGGTCTGCCCTTCTAGATTTGCCTGTCTATAAAGTAAAATTACGTTAAATGATTCATTTTTCGCTCTTCCCTACTTTCATTTCTCTCTTACAACACTACTCAAACACTCGCACGAAATTTAAAAAAAAAGGAAAGAAAAAGGAATGGAACTCCTCAATTCCATAAAACCCATACAACTCATAATTCTTCAAGCAAAGCCATAAAAGTATCATCTTGCTGGGAAAGGAGAAAAGGAAAAAAAAACAGTTGTTTGTTGGTGCAGATTCATCACAAGAAGGAAGAGGAAGAGGAAAAGAGGTGAACGGTGAACCAACCTGAAAAGCTTCTCAATTTGTTCTTCTTCGCTCCAAAAAGGTAAAAAGGAAAAACCCTAACTTCGTTATGACCCCTCGCAAACTTACTCGAAGACGATCACGGAACGAGGAGGGAAGGAGAGAACTACTCGAAGAGAATCGACGGAAGAGCCTTGGAGGGAAGAAGCGAATTGGAGTCTCACAAACCTAACTTTACCATGGGCAATTTCGGCATTTTCGAAGCGCAGGAAAATTTGTTTTGGTAGCAACGAAGCAAAATTGGAATTGCCAAAACATGATCTCACGCCTGTCCAATTTACCCCTTCTTCACGAGAGCCCGGATCTGCTCCTCACCGCCTGGCGCCTCGCAAAGTCCTCACGCGTCCCAAAAAATGAAAAAATCATGGTTTTTATAACCGAACCGGTTAGGGCACCGTTTTCCGGTTCGGCGGTTCAACCGTTCGAGTCAAACGGTTCGACCCGTGACGTCATAAATAAATAAATAAAAATAAAAAACATTTATATATAATAAAAATACCATAGAAATTTAAATAAAATACAAAAAATACACAGAAAATTACAGCAAAAAGAATAATACATGAAAAAATAAAAATATCTAAATATAAAAATAATAAAATACATAAAATTTTCCAAAATATATAGAAAATTTTCCAAAAATATAGAAAAATTTCCAACTGTAGTACTTAGACCCTTTGGCCTACCTGAAGCATCCAGCCAAAAGATACGTAGTCTAATAACCAAAAACCCAAGGCCTTAACAAAAACAAATTATAACTTATAATTGATAAATAAAATCATTCCTTGATAAATACCCATTATAACACCTCAATGCACCTTACCATAAGCTATTTCAAGCTTTCAGCTTTTACTTTTTTTAAGTTTCTGACAAGCCATTTTAACCTGTATTCCAAATATACACAAAAAAAGGTAAAAAAAAACTTCTACTAGGCCATAAGCAATGCAAACTATAAAAGGAGTACTTTCTTTCACCTTATGGAAAGGGACCCATTTAGATGGTCAAGTCTTTTAGAGTTTTCTCTGGACTTCCTGTTCAAAAACACTAAGAAGACAATAAAACAAATTTTGCAAAAGATTCTATTAATATTGTTATAACGTCGTGCATTCTTAATTCATCAAACATAATACTTAGATACTTAGAAATAAAAAGATCATAAACACAAGTAACAAAAAGATGAAAAACCAAGTTCACCAAGTATTAAACACAAATCAAAACTTCAAGTTCAACACAGAGTTTTGTTCACTAATCTAATCATCCAAAATCTCCAGATATATTGGCCCACTTCTCAATGGTACCAACTACCAACCAAAGTCAGGTGGTATTTCACCATCATCTTCATCTTCATATTCGGGAGGTTGTGTTTCATCTATATTTCCAACTTAGGTGTTGGCTGTATTTTCCTCCGTGATTCTCCATTGCCCATTGAAAAATTCATCATCATCTAAATAACGAAAATAGAAAATTAGAACTCAAAAAATAGCTAAAATAATCAAGTATAGAAATGTCACTTGAGATTATCAATGATAGTTACCATCAATCATAGCTATTTTTCTTGATGGTGGTTCCATTATTGAAAATGTTATCTCATCAGCTTTAAAATGGCATCCTTCTCATTACCATCAAGTAATGGAGGATCCTCATCATCGTGCACTATCCAATCTTCCACAACATCAACATGTTTGTGCCCAATTGGGTAAGACTTTTAGTTTTTCTCCTACAAATCAATAAATGATACATTAAATGCAATGCAAGCACTAAAAAAAAATAATCATGAAACATAAAAGTTAAAATACTTACCCATCCATCACATGCAGGTTGTAATGAACATATACTAGGTTATTGAGCCTCTGGTGCTCTAACTTATTCCTTCTCTTCGTGTGTATACGTTCAAAAACACTCAAATTGCGTTCACATCCAGATGAATTAACGTCTGGCTAAGGATCTGTACAACAATCATTTTCAAATTTGGAGTGTCACAACCAAATATCAACCACCATTCACATATATACAATGAAATAGAGTCAATTTAATTTATAAAATAAAATTGAAAATTGAAATAATAAACATGTTATAGGAAAACATATTTATTACCTGTAGGCGTTGACTTAAATGTCTTCACTGAGAAAAGTCTTCCAAAATTATCACGACAATTTTGAAAAAGAGTAAGCTCTTTGTTCAGCTTTATCTCCACATCATCTGATTTGATTGCAAGCTTTTCAATGACATCAAAAACTGTAGACATAACGGTCGGGGATTTAACTTTTGATTTCGGATCATATTGGAAGGTCGGGTTCAAATAATACCCTGCAAGATAAAGCCTCTGACCCATTTGTCTATTCCATCTTCTATCAATAATGTCCATGATTGGGCCATATTCATCTTTCTTATAATTAAAAAACTTTTTGAGTGATTCTTTTGCTTTCAACATTGCATGATACATATAACCCATTGCAGGCCTAAACTCAAAATCTGCAAGTTTCAATGCACTAACAAGAGGTGATGCGAAACCCGCAATCATTTTGCATTGTGCCCAAAATTCAGAATCCAAAACTATTTGTATTACTTCATTCCACTTGCATCTTTTGCATATCTAGAATCAATAAAACTCCGATCTGTCACCAAATTTTGCAAATCATGCATGTGCTTCAAAATGCTATCCGATGCAATGAAATTAGTTGCAAAACGAGTGGCTCCAAGATGTACTATCTCAATCCAACCAGGTCTCTTCCTTAGCATTGAGAATACAAAAATATGGTTGTAGACAAATTTGGTAATTCTAGATGCACGTTGAACTACATTTGCAACACAATTCATTTCCCCAATTTCCTTTAACATCAGGTTTTGACAATGTGTTGCACAAGGTGACCAATATATCCATGGAAATTCTGCTTCCAACAATCTTCCTGCAGCTACATAATTTGCAGCATTGTCAGTGACCACTTGAACAACATTTTATGCTTTTACCCAATTAATAACTTCCTTAAACAATTAATCAATGTTCGGCTACGTGTATTTGTCCAACCATCAGCCATTATAGTGCAACCATATGTAGCCCAATCCTTACGGAGTTTATCAACTGACATTTGCACCTCCTGAACTAAATCCTTAAACAAATTGGTCCTATAGTTATGATATTAAGGATCTTTGTACCTTGGACCAATAGTAGCAAAAGCATCAAACATAGGTTGAAAATATCTTGAACGCAAATCATTCAAGGGAATACAAACATTACACAACCACTTCATAACAGCATGGTCCACATAATTAATTGCTCCCTTATATGCCAATGCACTCTTAATTACAGGTTGTGCACCTGGAGTGGTCCGTGGAGCAAAATGACTAGCTATTAGCCTTGAAGATGCTTTCCCCTTTACCGATGATGTGGTTGGTTTTTTCCCTCGATAGGTATTATGTGTACTAGGCGGATCTATTTCTCTAATCTCAATATCATCATCATTATCATTCATTCCACATTGTGCTATAATGTCAACAAAATTCATTGGTTGCTTTTCACTTATTTTTTTTGTCATTGATTTCATTCAACGATTGCTCCATTTTGAACCTTACATCATGGGGTACTTTACGACAAATTGCAATCTCACATTTCCTTTGGGTAAGATGTTTCATCCTATTAATCCCTCCCCCTTTAAAAG